CATGTGTTTTTAAAGAAAAATAGTAATCTGGTGGAGGAAAGGACAGGAAGAATATTGTGTTCATATAGACCATAAACTGGAACAATAAAAGTGTCTGGCAGGCAGAAATTGCTGGCCAGCTGCAAGGATTACAGACCCATGATCTGTGTGCAGGGCAGCCTGCCAGGATGCTGGCAACCAGAGGACAGGCCCGGACTGCTGTGGCTCTCGGAGCACCCAAGGGAGCCTGAGAACATAAATAAGGTGACTGCAGTGTGGCAGGCCAAGGTTCTGCACATCTCATGCTCCCTGGGGACTAAGTCTCTTTCTGCCACTTCCATTGGAGCCTGGCTGCCAGCTTGAGGTTGATGTTGGATTCTGGGGCTGGCCTTTGGTTGCATCTCCAGGCAGAAGAGTCATTAGCTTTCAGTGTCATGTTTGCCCCTGGAGAAGACAGAGAGCACATCAGAGGGGTGAGAAGTCATGGAAACTCCCTGCTCAGTGCTCTGGGGACTTTTTGCACCTTGGGCCAGAGGGAGTTGGTTGCTGATTGCCATCTGTACATCCACTTGTTTCCTTCTGGTCCCCGGCAAGAAAGCCAGTACTGGGGAAGGCTGTTGGCATAAGGGGAGGTTGGTTCCTCTCTCCTTCTGCCCTCTTGTTTTCTTTGTCCATCCCTACCCTAACTGGCCACCAGTTCCCCCCCGGACACTTTTTCTTCCAGAGCAACTACTAGTAAGCAAACTTTCCAAGGAGAAGTTGGGGTGGGTGCTTGGAGGGGTTGGGATTGGAGCTGAGATGACAGGACATTGAGCCTGTTATTCTGCCTTTTGTCTCTCCTGAGTGCTTACCCCAGGCCAGACTGGGGCATGTGGAAATGAACAGGCATGCTGCCAGCAGGTGCTGTTTTAGAGGGTGTGCTGTACTGTTATTCAGGTATGGTGAAGCCAAAGGATTAGGAGACTATAGCCATAAATCACAGTTATGAAAAGATCGCTCGTAACTCACAGTTCCTAAGAGGAGGGGCAAGCCATCCCACAGGCGAGCCATAAGGATGCACTATGGTTAGTTGGGAGGCAGAGGGAGCCAGGGGATGGGTGAGCAGGGCAAGCAGGCTAAGCAGGTTAGCACTGGCCAGTTTGGGTACCTCTGAGGCCTGGAGGCTGTCATCAGTGGTTTGGCATCTGGCCCAGTGATGGGAGCAGGCAGTCATGGCCTGCAGTGTGAGAGCCTTATAGAGGAGATGTGGGTGCTGGATTGGTTAGTTTTCATTTGATAGAGTACTCAGAGGAGTGCCATTTGCTATCTTTAGGACTAAGCTAGTCCTGGAAGGGGTTGGCCCTCCAGGGTCAGCCAGGCCCCAGGTGTCCAAGTCACTAGCACATGGCTAGTACACCGTACAAAGTGCCAGCCTGACCAGAAGAGGTGCTGGAGCCCAAGGTGGGGTCACAGATGGAACACTCAGTGCTTTCTGAGCAGGAGGGGCCCTCTGGTCCAATGGATGAAGCTCTGTTTGGTGTTTGAAGGGGCACAATGAGGAGCTGGGAGAATCAGAAAAGTCTCAGTGCAAGGAGGTAGCATGTGGCTGAGCTACTAAAAATGAACCCAGCCAGATGTGTGGCAGTTAGGGGTGGAGGCCACCAGTGGCAGAGAGCCCTGCTTTGATAGAAGCCCAGGCTGGAAAAAGCCTGTGAATGAGCTTAGCAGGAAAAACACTTGGAGCACTCAAGTAAGGCTGTGTGGGCTTTTGAATTCCAAGCTGAGGCATTTGTATTTTATTTACTGAGTAAGCTATTTATTTGCTCACCTAGTAAATTCAGGAACTCATGTAGAATGCCTACCCTTGGCTCTGCACCAATAGTCACAAAGTGTACTTAACTGGCTAGGATGCTAAAGAAAGTTATCCTGGATGAAAAGAAAATCACTGTAGCAGGGGTTAGAAACTATTGCTTAGGCCAGCAGGTAATGTCAGTGAGTGGACAGGGTTTGAAGGACCATAGGGAACAGCCAGATCTGGACCAAAATGGCTGGAGACTCTGAGGTCCAGAGGATCACCTCTTAGGAATTAGTTCCAGAGTTTCCAGATCTTCCTGTCTTTTTAAACTAAGTCTGGAAGTTCAAGCTGTCATGAAATCTGATTTTTGTGATTGCCTGGTAATTCAGCATTGAATTAGCTAACTTCCTCCCTGACCACATGATATAGACACTCACTTTCTGCTTTATATCTGTCATCCCAGTTGAACTAGAATGGTCAAAGAGGTAGTGGGGTCATCTCCAGTGTGCCTACATTGGGAAACTGAGGCACAACTGATGGGGACAGATCTAGCAGTCAAAGTCCTTCCTTAGGGTCGTGAGTAGGCCACCCTACCATGCTTGATCTACATTTCTTTGTTTACAAAACTCCTTCATTCAATATTGAGTGTCTGCTGTGTGCTATGCCAAGATCAAGACTTCATACAGAGGAACAGAAAATTCAATGAGATGTTGTTTAGAACTATATAGTTGCAATGATTTTTGAGCAAATCAAAAGCTAAAAGGTGTGTGATCAATCACTTCATTGGCTGTCACTCTGTGGCTAGAGTGCCCTGAAATGATATTCTGCTGGCACATGATGAAATGATGGTGGTTGATAGCAGGTGGGAGGTTACACCATGTTCAAAGCTTTTAATGTCGATACTTTCTTGTCTGGGTCTTCTTATGTCCTGGGCTGTGACTCAGTGGCTGGGACTTGGGGTCTTGGCACCTAGTGTGCTGCTGGGCACAGAGCAAACAAACAAACAAACATCTCCCAGAGGAGTGAGTGTGTGTGGTCAAGTCTGGTTTTGATAAAGTTTTAGCCACAAAGATAAAAATAAAGCTACAGCATAATCACAGCATTTAAAAATAGAAAGGGAATGGGACCACCTGGAATTTGTAAGATGACTACATTATAGCAGTCAGGCTGCTACAAGAAAATACCATAGATTGGATTGTTTAAACAATAGATATTTATTTCTCACAGTTTGGGTGCTGGTAGATGCAGTGTCTTAGGTTTCTTCTCCTGGCTCGTAGATGGCTGCCTTCTTGCTATGCCCTCATGTGATCATTCCTCAGTTCATGGGTGTAGGGAACAGGGGAAGGGGACATTACCAGAACCTCTGCAGTAAGTCCTGGTCTCCTGTGAGCCACGGCAGTACAGGGCGAATTACAGGAAAGGTAGACAAATGAGACTGAGAAGAAGCTGAGCTTTGGGTCTGATCAGTGCTGCTCTGGGCGGCAAAGACAAGAAGCCCTAGCTTGCAGCACCTTTTATTTAGTACATCAGGAGAAACAAATGTAACAAATGAATATGTAGATTTCAGTATCACATTGGGATGAACAAGGTGTAACAAAAGACTGGGTGGGGGCAGCGGAAATCTAAGAACAATGAGAAACTATGCAGATGAAGATTTGGTTCCTCCCAGGAACTACACAGATGAAGATTTGGTTCCTCCCAGGGTGTCTCTTGCAGGTGTGGTCTTGTCCTGGAGCATTACAGCATCTGGGATCACTGAGGTCTCAATTGTGACCTGAGGCCAAAATGGAATTATGTCTTGGAGTGTTATAGCTGGCCTGTAGGCAGGAGAACTAGGCCTACTCAAATGATTTTTCCCTAGAATTATGTAGCATTGCTCCCAACACATGGGGCAGGGAAGAGGGGAAAAAGAGGGAGATCTCTTCATCTTACAAGCCCACTAATCCTATTGGATGAGCACTCCACCCTTATGATTTCATTTCACCATAATTACCTCCTAAAACCCCTGTCTCCAAATAGTCACTTGTGGGTTAGAGCTTCAACATTGGAATTTTGTAGGGACACAATTTAGTCCATAGCAAAAACCTAACACAATGACACCATTATTGGATCTGTGAATTTTTTGGAGGGGAGATAATCACAAGCTAGTATCCTCATAGGTGGTCTGGCCACCCTGCTCTGTTTGGCTCTGTGCAGGGAGAGAGGAAGGGCATGGACCAAGGACAGGGTGGGTAGTGTTCCAGGGACAACCCTGTGGTTAGACTGAGCCTGGGGGGAGTGTGTGCTTGCAGTATTTCCAAGAGGCTGCCCCCTGTGTGCTTATTGTTTGTCCCATCACCCACAGCCCACCCATAGGACAGGCCAGGTTTAGACGCTTGTTACACTAAAGAGATTAGAAAAGATGAGGGTGTCTTTCTTTTGCTTACAACTAGAGACAAATAATCTTAAGATATAAAATTATGTTTAAGAAAGTCTATCAAATACAAAAGTTTTAAAGAAATTGCTGTTCCCTCTCTCTCTCTCTGAGTGATTGATGAATATCTTCGACCCTCTGGTGTCTGCAGAACATTTGACCTGAGTGACAATGCAGCACTGTGTTTGTGTTTGCACATGCATATGTGTGCATATGCACACATATACTTGTGTAAAATGTTGTGCTTTAAGAAGTCAACATTAAGCTCAGAGCTGCTCAAAGAAAGACTTCTGCCAAGCCCAAGATTGTAGAGAATCAGCCTGTAGACGGCAGGGGACACCCTTGGGTCAAGCCTGGGCTCTTTGAAGTTGGCAGCCTTGGGATACTGCAGGGTTTGTCCATGGGCTTTGCCTGTGGAAACATCCCATGCCACCTTCCATACTACTCTGGGGAAAGGGTGGTTCTCCCAACACAGCTGCTTCAGAGTGTGATGCAGCCACTGTGTGCCAGCCGTGGGATGCAAGGCCAGGTATAGAGAACACCTTTTCCATGTAGACCTGCAGGGAGGCTTAGGTGCACTGAGAGTAATGACCTGCCTGGGAAGTTGTCAGGAGCACTGGGGTTAACATTTGCCCTCCTTGTTGAGAATGTCCTTTTGAAATATGTCCTAGGCTTCAGCTCCTGTCCTATTAATTATGTCACTAGCCTAGTAAAGCTGAATAATTAATGATCACAGGGCGCTTGGAACTATAAAATGTCATGCAAATGTTGAGGAGTAAAAATTACTTTGCATTAGATACGTATATTTCTTGAAAAATATTCCACGGTGAGAAGGTTAACACAGAAGCTGCAGCTGATGCCTCACCTGGCCACAGCACTGGCCCTGATCTTCACCAGCAGGTGAGATGGCTTTGGGTTGGTTCTCCTCCAGGGAGTGTGAGGCCCTGGAATTAACAAGGACTTAAAGGAAAGGCAGGCAGAGGGCTCATTTTCCAACCTGTGAAGAGGAATTGGGCCTACAGTTAAAATCTGATGTTTAGATTAAATATGAGATCCAAACTTTGATTCTACAGATGAATGGAATCTAGAGAGAATTCAAGAAGTTTCAAAAGTGCCCTTTTCAACTAGTGTTTTGCTAGTTGCCAAGAGTAGAAGACTTAAACAGTTGAAATATATCTGCTTTCTCGTAAAGGTTCTAGATGATAGTAAAATATTAAAAAATAGGTCAAGATGTGTGTGTACGTGCGGGTAGGGGAAAGAGGTGAGGTGCTGAATAAAACAGCAGGAACAATATCATAAATACCCATGGAAATTCACAGTTAGTGCAGGTCCTCAGCCATTATTATCCTTGCACTCTAAAGATAAGAAACATGGGGCCCAGGTGGACTGGAAATAGAAATCCAAATTTTGGGCCCTTCTTTCCATATGTAATTTTGCTTCCCAGTGTCAACTACAGCAATTGAGTTGTAAATAAATTAGGGTTGACATGTGCTTGAAATTTTATACATTGGTGAGTGAGTGACCATATGAAGGTGGTCATAGGAGAGACCCTGCCATATCGAGTGTGCTGTTGACTTGTGGGTCTCCAGGCCCTTGGGCCTGGCTGGGAGGGGTTGGGGTACCCTGTGCTCCAGTCACTCACAAGGCTGGGGAGCGGAATGAGAGGGTTCCAGGGTACACCAACAGTGAATCTTACAGACTGAGCATCAGGTAACAACCCAAAGATGTGTGCAAGCTCCCTGGAAAAAAATTAAATCACTTACATCCAACATCTGTTACTTAAACTGTTAATGTTTCTGAATGTTTTTTGAGGTTTAATTTGCATACAGTAAAATGCACAGATTTTGGTGTATAGTTCAGTGAGTTTTGACAAACATCCACTTGTGTAACAAACCCTTCAAACAAATATAAAACATTTCCATCACCACAGAAAGTTCCTCACACCCCTTTGCTGTCCATTCCCACCTCACCACTGTAGCAGAGATAACCAGCTTGCTGATTTCCATTCCCATTGTTGGTTTTGTTTCTGAATGTCATGTAAGTGAAATCATGCTGTATATATTTGTAGTTTATTTCCTCCAATATGTCTTGATGTTCCTTAATGTTGCTGATAGTTGGTTAATTTTTTTTATTACTGAATAGGGATGTTAAATGAGTAAACTACAATTTGCTTATCTATTCTCTCACTATGGACATTTACACTTACTTGTTTGTTGCTAATCAATTTTTGTATATTGACCTTGCAGCCTGTATTCTCACTAAATCCACTTTTTAAATTTAGTAGTTTCTTCGTAGATTGTTTGGGATTTTCTTTTTTGTTTGTTTTTATTTTTTATTAATATTGTACATGTTTGTGGTACAGTACATAATGATTACATTCCTCATAGGGAGTTGGTACACATATGCAACACATTTCAATTCCTCTTTTCGTCCTCTTCCCCTCCCATCTTGCCCCCTCCCTCCACCTCTTGCTGTCCTTCTCTTTTACAAAAAATCAATCTCTTTTTTATTGTCTATCTTTTTTTATTAGTACATGATTGAAGTACATAATGTACATTCTTTGTGTCGGGTTTGTACATGTGCATAACACATCTCAATTCTTTTCCATCCCTCTTCCACCCCTCCTTCCTCTTCCTCTGTCTCTTGATCCCCTTCCCATTTGAGAAAGATCTATCTCCCTGCTTCCTGTTATCTTTTATTGTGCTCCTTATTTATAATTTGAGTTTCTCATATAAGAGAAACCATGTGACATTTAAGTTTGAATGCACATTATATTACATATAAATACATAGAGTTTATGCTTTTTAATTTTTTCTTGCTTTATTGGACTGGCTAAAACCTCCACTACAATACCAAATAGCTCCAGTAAGAGTGGGCAAGCATATCTTCTTGTTATTACTAGGGGAAAAGCAGTCACTGTTTCATCATTAAGTATTCCATGCTTGCTGTAGGATTTTTTAAATGGCCTTTATTAGACTGAAGAATCACTCTTCTACTTCTTCCTGACTAAGCATTTTTATCATGCATGGTGAATTTGTCAAAAAAAATTGATTTGTTTTGAAAGTGGGTAGTGCGAGTTCTCTGACTTTGTTCTTTTCAGAAGTGTTTTGACTATTCTCATTCCTTTTTGACTTAAAAATCACTTATTCTTGAGTGAATATTTTATTGATTTCATCTAATTGTCAGATTTATGCCATAGTGTTGGTCACTGCACCATTTCTTGTCATCCTTTTAATGTTCATGGGGTCGTCGTGGGATCATTCTTTGCTGATACTTTGTGTTTTCTCATCAGGAAGATAGATGTTTATCAATTATATAGGGTTTTTAATATTTTATGTGATTGACTATTGTGTTTCTGTTTTAAATTTAATTAATATTTACTCTAATGGTTGCCAGTTTCTTTGTGCTTGGTTTGATTTTACTTGTATTGTTGCTCTCTGTCTCTTACGGTGGAAGGTTAGATTACTGCACTGAGGCCTTCCTTCTGGGCTAACATAATCATTTAGTACTAAAAATACCCTCTAAGTATTGCAGCTACATCCCTCTGATTTTGATTTGTTTCTACTTAGTTAAAAATAGTTTTAAATTTTCTTGAGACTTCCCCTTTGACCTATGGATTATTTAGAAGTATGGTCCTGGTCCAAGAACATCCTTTTTATGACTTCTGTTCTTTGAAATTTATGTCCCACTGTGTGTATGTGTTTCTGTGTGTGTATTACCCCAGGTACACTTGTGAAGAATGTACATTCTGCTGTAGTTGAGAGGAGAATTTATAAGGTAAGCTAGGTCAAGTTGGTTAATTGCTCTCTGCAGCTCATACTGATATTCTGCTTACTTCTACCAATGACTGAGAAAAAAGCTGACATTTCCAACTATAATTATGAATTTGTCGATTTCCTCTTTCATCATTATCAGTTTTTAATTCAAGTATTTTGAAGGTTTTTTAAAAATTAGGTGCATACACATAGAAGATTATTATTTCTTCCTTATCTTGAAATCTGTTTTGTCATATTAATATAGCTGCTCCAGAGATCTTTTGTTTAATGTTTTCATAGTACATATTTCTTCATACTTTTAGTTTCACCTACTTCTATCTGTAAAGTGAGTTTCTTAGTAAAAGCTTATAATTGGATCTTGCTTTTTAAATCCACTTTGACAGTCTCTTAACCGGTGTGTTTAGACCAATTGCACTTAAAGTGATTACTGATATATTTGGATTAAAGCCTGTCATAAAATAACTGATTTTTATTTTTTTCCATCTGTTGTTTCTGTTTTCCGGTTTTCTGCCTGCTCTTGGGTGAATGGAACATTGTTTGTTATTCCATTGCATCACTTTTATTGACATGTCATTTATACTTTTAGAAAACATTTTAATTGTTAACCCAGGACTTACAATGTACACCTTTGTAATTATGTACAATGTACATAATTAATCAGAGATGATCTTCAAACATTATTATACTACTTCCCATCTAGTGTAAGGCCCTTGAACAGTGTTTGCCCTCTTCGTCCCTCTAATTCTTTGTGCTATTGCAATCATATAGCATATTGTTACTTTTAAATATGCGACAAACACACAGTATGTTGCTATTGTTTTATCTTTTAAATGGATGTGCTTTGCAGCAGTTAAAACTAAGGAAAATTGAATTTTATTTTACTTCTATGTTCCATTTCAAACTCTGTTAGCTTCTTTGTGTAAGGCAGGTCTCTAACTCACAGTGTGTGTATATATATATTTTTTTGCCTTTCAACATTTCTTTTTAACCTTTAACATTTCTTATAGATCTATTAGGAATTAATTCCTCCTTTTATGTTTCTTTCTTCTTTTTTTTGAGAAAGTCTTTATTTTTATTTCCTTTTCCTTTCTCTTCTTTCTGCCTTTCAGTCTATCTTTGAATGAATTGTCAATGAGAATTCTAAGTTAATAGTGTATTTTTCTTTGAGCACTTTAAAGATGTTCGTCTATTTCCATCTCGTTCCTTGATTCTTATGAGACCAGACATAATTCTTCCCACTTTTTCTCTGTGCATAAACTTTTCTCCTCTGTTTGCTTTTAAGATTTTTTTCTCTTTGACTTTCAAAGTTTGGTTATGTTGGTCTAGGTGTGGTTTGTTGTGTCTGTACCATTTAATATTTGTTGTGAATCTGGAATGTGAGGATTGAAATTTTTCATCAAATTTGGAAATATTTTGTCACTTATTAATTTTTTTTCTGTCTTATTTCTTTCCTTCTTGGTTTCTAAGTATACAAATGTTAAACTGTATTTTATTGGACCACATATCACTGAATGTATGTTCGTCTTTCTTGTCTTTTTTTCCTTCTATGCTTCAGTTTGGATAATGGCCATGGATCTATCTTCCAGCTCTGTGTTCCTTTCTTGTGCAATGTCCAATCCACTGAAAAGTGCTTGTCTCTCTCTGGAGTTCAGCTTATCAAGGTTCCTTCAATATTCACCCCTTGATAACTCTATAGGCAAATGATTTTTATTTTATCCATTTTTGGTGGTATTAAGGGAGCAAAAGCCTATGCCATCCTATGTCCTAACCCATGACATTTCTTTTGACCTCACCAATGCCATGTGAGGTTGTCACTATTGACAAAGCCACTCTGTCCCCATGCATTCCTTTTTGCTTTACCCCCCTACCCCTGCTTCATCTGAGGCAAATAATTCTTGAAACACAAGGTTGGCTTTTCAGGAGTTCTCAACCCAGATGGATGTTCATCAAAATGTGCTTTTCATAAAATATAAACTTTGTCACACAAATCCACTAATTCTAATTCATCAAAACTGGGGTATGTCTCAGGAATAGGGAGTGGGTATATATAAGTTACTTCTAGTGAACAGCCAGAGTTGAAAATCACAGGATATTTTTAGGCAGCTCCCTAGTATGACCTGAAAA